CCTCCTCCTCCTCCTCCTCCTTCTTCCTCATGTATTTGCTGATATGTAGAAACTGCCATTTCTAAAAAGTGGAAGACAGCTCCCAAAGAATCCTTGCCTTCTTGTTCTCTTTGCTTTAATTTTTCATATTCCATTTTTAATTCATCCACAGATAGTGCCATTGTAAATTTTTAAGAATAACCCAGATGTTTTTAATCTTAAAGTAATTTCCAAGTGTCAAAGTTATCAAACAATCCAAACAGACACAAAATATTTCCTCTTCTTCTCTTTGCAGTTTTTCGTCCTGGGGCAAAATCCCAAAATATATTTTAAAGCCGTATTACAGTTAGTTGCTGATCTTATAATCTTCAAGGCGTCTCCTCCAACAAATTTTTAAAAGTTTTTTTTAGTCCTCTCCTTCCCACTTATAACAAAGAGCTTATTTTTACCTTAAAGAAGCAGGTTTTTCAGTGCTCATTTGCTTTCTCCGTAAGGAAGGGGAGTGAACTTTCCTTTCAGCACTTTTGCCGTTTTAACAACTTCTTTTGGAAACAAATGTATCAATCCAAAAGTCAGGTTTCCAGGGTGTTTAAAAGTATCTTAATGTCCCGGTTCAGCCAAGAAAACTTCTCCTTCTGATTCTTCCTCCTGCACAAATCTTATCCGGTTGAAGATTCCTTTGTGGCTGCCATTTCTGACAGCCGCTCTACCCCCTCAGGAAAAAGGAGTCTAGCCGGCTGGGGAAAGGGGTTGCGATGTCCCCAGACCCCTGCCCAGACCTCCTCTATCTTCCGCTGCCCCTCCGGGGTAGCGACAACCCTCAAATCCAGTTGGATCAGGGGTACCTCAGCAGCGAGCGCAGCAGGGACCCGCAGAAATGCGGATTCCTGCCGCCGCCGAAGCCTTGCAACCCCTGCAATGATACTTCTAATACCATCAACACTCTGCCTAAGCCAGATCCTTGGAAAGAACTCAATAAAAATGCCAAGCACAATTGGAATATTTGGCTGATTGTGCAATGAATCATAACTATATCAATCATAGTAAAAATAGCAATCATGATAACAGCATCAGCAACAAAAACAACAGATTGAAACATATACAAATATGTTCTAACTTTTGTACAGCTTTAGAAATTAGGACTTGGTAACTGTCTAGAAAAATATATGATCAAATTTCTCATAAATCCATAGGATTCAGTTAGGATCATCCAATTTATCTAATTTACTTTTGGGGTGTCTTCACTGGTGGGAGAGATCCTGGGCTAGTGCCATAGCACTTCTTTCTTTTCCCCATGCCTTGTTAGTCCTCAGCATAACAAAAACTTTTGTCTGTGTTGTGGTCTATACTTCTCCAGAAAATATTATTTAAATAAAAAGGATCCAGTGGGAGTACTAAAATAGATAAAATAAAATAAAACCAAGAAGAGCTGCTGCGGCATGCTCCAGCAGCCAGCTTCCCCCCAAGCCAACTTTTTGGGTGTCTCTGCTTCATAAAGTTTAATTTTTTCCACGAAGTTTCCTCCATCACTAAAGCAGCCACACTTTCTTTCTATTTATGCCATTAAAGACTTTTTACAGCCTCTTCTGAATTTACTTTTCCTTCTTCAATCCAGCTCCATTCCTTTCTGAAAAGCATCTCATTTAACAACAGTGCTGGGGATAAAATTGCCTTCAATCAGAAAGGAGAAATAGTTGCTGGATTTGACGTGATCAACTGGATTACTTCCTCAAACAAATCAAGAGTGAAGGTTGGCAGGGTAGATCCTCAGACTCCAGCAGATCAAAAACTGATTATCGGGAAGGATGCCATCACATGGCATAGTTGGTTCAATCAGGTGAGAAGATCCAGCTACTAAAAATTTGAGATGTCTTTGAGGAAGTCAGTGAAATGAAAATAGTTAATCTCCTATTTTACTATATTTTATCAATGAAAAGGAGAGAGAGGGAGGGAGGGAGAGGGAGAGAGAGAGAACACATATTGGTTATAGTGTTATTCTGCATATAGTGTTATTCTGTATGTGAAGGATTTATATGTGATGAACTTTCTTAGTGGCTTGAGTTTTATATAATCCTCTCCCCAATTTATTTTTTTACACTTTTCTCCATGAAATAAAACTTAGTGGGATGTTTTCCCCAGAAATATTCTGGCTAATGTTTTTTTTATAAATAATACAAATACAATACAAACTAAAGTCAGAAAAAATAAAAGCGAAGAGTAGAAAATGCAACAAAAGAAAAAAGGGAAAATAATAATAAGAAAAAAAGAAATATAGATCTTCACCACAAGTACAAACAAACATAGTGATATTTTGCCCCCTAAACATTTAAATACAAATATCTTTTCTTCTCGTAGCCAGTCTTTTATTCTAATACACAAACTAAATCACTAATATTAGTACATAAAAGATGATCAGAGTTATATAGAAACATCCCCTGTTTTAACCTTGATCAAGCAAACTATGCATCCCTTCCTTTTATTTATAACAATCTTGATCATTGATGTATTTAGATTTGGTTGTAGGATTTGATATCTCTTCAGCTTTTATATTTTATATCTGAAAGGATTCTTCAAGGCTTTAGCAAACCTCTTTTGTAAACTTTAGTATCTTAAATTTTAGTATTTATTTGATTCAGTATTTCAAAAATATATTTATATTATTTCTGTATCAAATGTGATTTGTTTCTTTATTCGGTAAACTTTCTTTCTGTTTAACATCTTCTATTTCTTCTTTTGAAAATAATCTACCCCTAAATTGCTGATATTGTAGCTGCTAGTTTCTGTCCTTGTTCTTCAAATATGTTCTAGAGTATTTCAAAGTTCATATTGTTTTATGTCATTATGTTTTATATATAGGTATTTATTTTAAAAGATTTGTGGTGATTTTAGTGCTGAACCATAAACCAGGAGATCATGATTACTGGTCCTCCTTTAGGTGTGAAATTTTCTTGATGACTTTGAAACAGACCCCAATTTTTTTTTTATTTCAATTTGCATATGCACAATAATACATTAACAGTGTGGCATCAATGTATCATACATTTTAGTATAGGCAAAATCAATAATATCAATCATATCTCCCAATACATATATTTCACATTAATTCATAATCCTTCAATGCTTATTTTCAACCTTTCAACACTCTTTCAAAATGCCTACCACGTTATCAGTTAAACATACCTAGTAATTCCATTATTCAATTTTCTCCCTGCTTTTATTTTATTTTTTAAAATAAAAAATTCTCATTTGGCAAGCAGTGTGGTTTCTGGTTTCACATCTCAATACAAACATGACCATAGTTACCTGTTCATTATATTTGTTTAGTTTCATATTGCATCATCTTTATTATTGTTAAATATTAAACTTATCCAATTCCAATTCATGTTATATTAATACATTCTCATATCTTATTTTAAAATGTTATCTAAACTTCTCATCTCATTTCTGTTGTAATTTCCCATATTATTTTTTTCTGTCACATTTGTCATTTTATCAATCCTTATCTGTAAATATAATTATCCCCTCTGATTAATAATTCAAGCTAACCACCTTCATTCTACCGTAATATCAATCTCCCTATTTAGTATATAACACAAATATATATATTTTTCTCAGATTCCGCGTTATATTTTCTCAAACACCTTATGAATCATCTATTCATTACAAAATACTATTTTCAATATATTCTTATACATCACAACATATTATCTTGCGGAATCTCCTTCCTTATCCTATCAATTTACTCATTTTGGCACAGTCCATGATTTTCTTAGTAATTTCCTCCTTTTTTCATTTTTCCAATTCTTAGCAAATACAATTCTAGTCACTGTTAAAACATTTACAATCAAATATTTCAATTCTTTACAATATATTTCCGGTATAATTCCCAATAAAAATATCTCAGGTTTAAAGTCTATGTGTTGTTTTGTCATTTTTTCCAACCATGTATGGATTATAGTCCAATATCTTTTTGCATCTGAGCATGTCCACCACATATGGTAATATGAACCAGGTATCTGATGACATTTCCAACATTTATCCGATTTATTCTTGAACGTCCTCGCAATTCTCATTGGGAGTAAGTGCCACCTGTAAAACATCTTATACAAATTTTCTTTATATGCAGTTGACATTGTCATTTTATAATTTTGAGACCATATTTTTTGCCATTTATCTAAGTCAATCTCATATCCAAAAATTTTCACCCACCCAATCATTGTTTCTTTTACTTGTTTTTCCTCTAATTTAAACTCTAGCAAATGTCCATAAAGTTTTTTATTACTTTTTCATCAGTACCTGTCAAAATTTTATCTAAATCAGTCAACTTATCATAGATACCTCTGTTTTAACATCTTTATCAAATCTAGATTGTATTTGCAAATATGAAAAACAATTCATTTTTACACCTTGTTCTTCCAACACTTGCATAGATTTAAGTTCACCCTTTTCATTCAATATCTCACCATATCTAACTGTTTGTTCCTTTTTATGTATTATTGGATAGGAAAAAGCTTCAATAGTAGATAACCATAGTGGAATTTTTAAATAATATTGCTTTTTTATCTTCTCCCAGTTTAGAAACAATGCTTCTTGAATATAATGTATTCTAAAATATCCCTGCGTTTTAGTTCCCTTATACCAGAGGAAGGCATGCCACCCTAACAGCAAGCCACATCCTTCTAAATTCAAAAGTCTAGTATTCCTTAGTGTTATCCATTCCTTTACCCACATCAGACTTGTCGCTTGGTAGTATAATTCCCAATTGGGCAAAGCAAATCCTCCTCTTGTTCTTGCAACTTGTAGCAATTTAAGTTTTATTCTCGCTTTCTTCCCCTGCCAAATGTATTTTAGCACTATTTTGTTTAAATCTTCAAAAATTCTTTCCCTAATCTGATTGGAATTGTCTGGAATAAATATAAGATTCTAGGCAATACATTCATCTTAATTGTAGATATTCTCCCAATCAGTGATAATTGTAATTTTCCCCATTTTATCAAGTCTGTCGCAATCTGTTGTTTAAGTTTAAGATAATTATTCTCCTTAAGTATGCTACATCTTGGTGTTATATGTATCCCTAAATACTTAACCTTATTTGTGACCTGGATCTCCAAAACTTCCTCCAATTCTTTTTTTGGATCTTACTAACATGTTCTTTGCTAAAATCTTTGTTTTATCTTTATTTATTTTCAAACCTGCTACTTTCCCATACTCTTCTATCTTTTCTATCAGTTTAGGTGCTGACTCCAATGGATCCTCTAATATAAATACCAGGTCATCTACAAAAGCTTGTAATTTATACTCTTCTTTTTTTTAATTGTCATTCCTTTTATTTCTTTTTCTTCTCTGATGTTCCTATTCAGCACTTCCAGTGTTAACACAAACAACAGAGGTGACAGTGGACAGCCTTGTCTAGTCCCTTTTCTTATATCTATAAAGTCTGTTAACTCTCCATTTATCATAACCTTTGCAGTTTGTTTATGATATATCATTTCTATGGCTTGAGTAAATTTTTTACCAAAGCCCATTTGGTCCAATTGTAACAGCATAAAACGCCAATTCACATTATTAAAAGCTTTTTGTGCATCTAAAAACATCAGAGCCATTTGTTTTTCAGGATGTGCCTCATAGTATTCCAATGTATCTAAAATTATTCTCATATTATCTTTAATCTGTCTCTTCGGCAGAAATCCATTTTGATCAGGGTGAATAAAATTGTTAAGTATCTTTTCAGTCTTTCTTCCAGAATTGAAGCAAAAATTTTATAATCTGAATTTAATAGTGATATAGGTCTGTAATTTTTAACTTGCTGTGGGTCTGTGTCCTCCTTCGGTACAAGTGTGATATATGCTTCTGACCATGTTTTGGGTATTCTCTTTTTTGTCATAATTTCATTCATAACTTCTAATAAGTGAAGATTCAATGTTTCCTGGAATGTCTTATAAAATTCCACTAGCAAACCATCCGGATCTGGTGCTTTCCCAATGTTTTGCTTTTTTAAAGCTTCTGTTAATTCCATCATTGTTATGTTACTTTCTAACATTATTTCAATATCTTTGGGTATCTGCGGCAAATTTGCTTCCTGTAAGTATTGTTGAATTCTTTCTTCCTGAACATTCTCTTGATGGTACAGTTTTCCATAATAATCTTGAATAATTTTTTTCTTCTCCGCATTTCCATAGCATACATCTCCTTGTTCATTTATCAATTGATTTTTCCTTCTTGAGTCTCTTTCCTTTCTCAATTTATATGCTAGCCATCTGCCTGGTTTGTTTGCATCTGCAAAACAGTTCTGCTTAGCATTTTTAATTTTTTGTGCTATTTCTTCTTTTTCCATTAGCCCCCTTTTATGCTTAGTTATGTCCATTTTAATTTTAATGTCCTTTTTTCTGGAAATTTCTGTAGTTCTTTTTCCAACTTCTTGTAGTCATCTTCCAATATTTTAAACATTTTTTTCTGTTTTATATTTCTTTTCCTTGTATAGTCCATTATCAAGTCTCTTGTATAAGCCTTCATTGTGTCCCAGAGGTTCTGTGATGATATATCCTCTTTTGTGTTTTCTTTAAAGAAAAAAGTCAATTCTCTCTCAATTTTCTGTTTAAAGTCTTTTTCCTTTAATATCGTATTATTTAAAGTCCATCTAGATCTCCTTTTTTGTCCTTTCCATACAAGTGTTATTGGATTGTGATCTGCCCAGGTATTTGCTTCTATTTCAATGTCTTGTATGTTAGAAAGCAATTCTGTTGACATCCATATCATATCTATTCTAGACCATGATGCATGTCTATTGTTTATTTTCTGCATTTCTCTCTCTCCATGCATCTTATAAGTTTATCTCAT